TGGGCAGAGTGAAGCTTTTGTAGTCTGAATTTTTCCCACTAGGCAAGCATTCATCAACTTGCTCTGAGTTAGTGCACTCAGTGGCATCTCCTGGGAAGGTTCTCTCTGGTCACACTGAATTTTTTCATGAAAGCAGTTGTACACTCACTTCATTTTTCATAATGGCTGATTTGAGAGAACAGAATGCAGCTATGAGATTTTGTTTCCTGCTTGGAAAAAAATGCTGCACAAACTTGTGATGTTGAACACAGCTTACAAGGACAACACTATTTGAAAAACTCAAGTGTATGAGTAGTTTTCTCATTTCAAAAAGGTGAAATGACCCAACCGGAAAGCAAGTTTTGAGAATGATGAGAGCAATAAATGTATAAGTGTGCTTTACACAATTGATGCATGTGTGGATTGTGATAAGAGTTGTATGAGCCCCAATAAAATTATTAAAAAAAAATTTTTTTTTAAAGAATACAAAATTTCTTTTTGAGGTGATGGATGTGTTCTGAAATTGGTAACTAATTATTACACAGTTTGGGGAATCCACTAACAAATTTTTCCATGGATGCTAATTATATCAATAAAACTGTTACAAAAGGTGAAAAAAAAAGGTGAAGTGTTGATTGATGACAAATCTCATTCTGGACGTCCGTCAACTTCCCAAACTGACAAAAATGTTGACTTGTGCATTTGGAGTTCATTCCAACAGGTCAGACTGTTAATCAAAGTTTCTAATTGGAGGTTCTGATAAGATAGCGTAACAGTGTGCTACAAAAAAGACCTAATTTGTGGCAAATGGGGGACTGGTTTTGCCACCACAACACTGCACCTGCTCAGGCAGCCATCTTGGTGCACCACTTTTTGGCCAAAGAAAAACCATGGTTCTCTTGCCCCATACCTCTGACTCACCTGACTTCACTCTGTGTGACTTCTTTTTATTTCCCTGAATGAAGAGGGACATGAAAGGACAGCAATTTGACAACATAGAAGAGGTGAAGAAAAATATGAGGGAGGTTCTCTCAGGCATCCAAACAGCTGAATTTGGAAAATGTTTCCAAGAATGGAATCACAGATTTGACAAATAAATTAAGTATGGTGGAGAGTACTTTGAAGGTGATAAGCTTGTTTTGGAAAAAAACATTTAAATATATAGCTTTGAAAAAAATTCTGGTTTGGGGGAGGCACCCTCATAGTTTGTCAGTTGCTGTCATGTGGAAATTTCATCGAAATAACTCTTACCATTTCTTTATTTGGAACCTTCTAACTCTTCTGTGAAGTTCTTTGAATTAAAAAAGAATTGTTTCTATAGCAAGGGTTTTCCTATAATAACCCTAATTTAGAAATCTCACTTGTGTGTCTTTTCCCCAAACCCTTACATAGCTAGTTATACCCTTATCTTTTTAACATACTGAGTATTTATGGACATTTGGGGGGGGGTGCTGTAGACCTACAGGACTCGGTTCGATTTATTTGGTTTTACTCAACACCCAACTTCTACTCAGTGTAAAGTAAATAAAAGTGTATTTTCTAGAGAGAAAATCAACCAGTGACCTAATGACCTTGACATATAGAAAAATTAAAAGAAAAGCCTTAATTTTAGAGGGTATTTCTTTTCTAACATGAAATCAGTGGAGTTAATCAGATTTTTGCAGTGATAATCCGCAGCGCTATTTTACTCTAGGTGGGAAATAAGTCACAGTTTGTTGATATCCATAAATAGTAGGTTTGTGTCTGCTAAATGTCACTAGGTGCTTCTAATTATTTTTAGAAGTCACAAGCTGTAACTGATGAGTCAAAATACACAGATTCTTAGAATGGCTTTGTCTGCTTTAGTAATCAACAACTCTAGTTACTCGCCCTTAATGTGTGTTCCATTAGATTCGTTTCTGGAGATTGGTTCACTTCCCAAAAAAGCAAGCCTACAAGTAAATCCCAGGTTGGTCAACTCAATTGCAGGGGACCCCTTTCCAAATTGAGTGTGCTGATTTAGGAATGCAAAACCAATTTATACCAAGTAATGTTATTATCCTTGTTCATTTGAGTTTTTTCATATATTATAGAAAGCTATTCTGAGGTCACTTTCTATGTTTCTATATTGTTTTTATTGTTAAGTGAGTAAGGAAAAAGAAAAATGTTTTATAGAGTTGTTCTCAAAAAAATTGGCTTTGAAAGTGTATGGAGCGTTTTTGCTCATGTTCATTATTTTATTTTGAGGGATAGGAGTATAGTGTCAGTCCGTGAGAAGGGTATAGCTTTTATGGGAATGTTTGATCAACTGAATTGTGTCTGAGAAGAATTACTGAGCGGTGAAAAACAGGCAAGGATAATAGTGGAGTAGGAGGAAAAAACAAAACCCAAAATATATATACATATATGAATATGTGTATAATCATTTATATGTGTGTATATATGGGTAAATTCAACATGGAAACAGATGGACTTTGGGCCTCTACTTAAATCTTACCTCGGTACAAAAATGGCTTGTTCTAATAATGTGGCATTGTTCTATTGCACACCCTTAGTATTTTGCCTCGGTGTGGTGGGGTCAGATTGGGCGCAATTCCCACACTGTTTCTCCAGTGTTGTCCCCTGTAGGACTATGGGTCAGTGAGGATGTCATGTCTTGTAGTGGGGCCAGCCATATATGGCCCTCTCTGTGCATTGGTTGTCTGAGCAGGGATATCATCCTCAAGGCTTGGTGGGCCAAGATGTGCGCCACTCTCTCTTCCTCCCCCTTCATTTGCTCAGACGAAGTACTAAGGGAATACCAAAACTAGACTGCGGCCAGGGCATGGCACCCTATCAGACTCCACCAGAAAACACTCCTAAAGATCAACAAACAAACCTTGAACTATTTTTTTTTAAATAAATAAATAATGTGGCACCCAATGATGCTCACCTCCTTGACCCAATCGCTGAAGACAAAAATGGGTGCATAAGCAAATGTGGTGAAGAAAGCTGATGGTGCATGGCTATCAAAAGCTATAATGTGTGGAGTCTTAAAAGCTTGGCGTTAAACAAGCGGCCATCTAGCAGGGAAGCAACAAAGCCTACAAAGAAGAACACACCAGGCTGTGTGATCATGAGGTGTCAACAGGTAGAGGTATCACAAGTTCAAAAACATGCATCCAAATTGTTATGCAAGGGACTAGATGGTGTGGAGACCCAAAGTCCACCAGCAGACAATTGGACAGTCCCTCTAGAAGGGCCTCGGGATGCAGTGAGGCACTGATGAACCACATAATTATTCTCTGTTTCTTTAAGATTCCCTCCCCTTACTATTGTGGTTCGTATGTTATATACCTCTTTGGTCATTTTAGACTTGTGTATGTTCATTTGTTCATTTAAGATCACTCAGTATATGGTAGTCAAGATAGATGACCCCTCAGAGACACTGACAGGAGTAACAGTTCCCAGAGGGTAGGGGAAGTGTGTGTGTGTGTGTGTGTGTGTCTCGGACAGGGGTGAGGGGTGGGGAGAGTTGATAGCATTGATGGTTGTATAGCCCCACCCGATGGAATTGAACAACAGAATTATATGGGAAGGAAAGGGCTATATTGGAATGAGTAAGGTCAATAAAGATATTATTTGAGAAAATAATTTAACTAAAATGATTATAATGTCAGTGAGGTAGGTGGAGATCAGGAAAGAGGAGAGCTGTTATATCTAAGGGCACCTAGACTATTATTTCTATAGGTTATAGTTGCCAGTGTCAGTGAGTGTTGAATTTTCTCCCTCTCGTGACTACCCCCTTCCATCTAGAGCTTCTAAACCTCTAGAACAAAAGAGCCCAAATGTCTAACTGTTCAACAATTTTATCTTATTCTTCATGTAGTGAGGTATTTAAATATGATGATACCTGTCTTGAATCCCCCCACCCCCAAAGCCCTAACAACTTGTAACTACCTTAATCTAGGAGTAGCCTTGGCAAGAATAATTTTTTAAATGACATCACAACTGGTTGTTTGGGGCGCAGGGATGATCATAAAGTATTTAGCATTTGGGTTTGTAAGCTATTCCCATTACGTGAGATAGTTGTCAGCTGAGAGCCTCCACTCATGATACGTTTTTATCTGGCTAGTCTGGAGATTCCTTTTTGGAAATTACCGTGCCTCTTCCTTTAAAAAAAAAAACAACCCTAAACTTGTAAAGCCAATTTACAAAAGTAGGAAAACGTATCTTGCTGGTCTCCCTTTCTTCCAATCTCCAAGAAAAGTGAGGGAGAACAGGGTATCACAAGGCCCAAATTCAATCACTAATCCAACAATGTTGGACAATCTTTATATAGACATGGTGCTCTTGATTTTCTAAAATAATTTTATCTGAGAAACAGGTAAAAACATTAAAAGTGGTTGAGCAATCCCTTCTTCCTTATTCCAATATATGAAAAGAATTTTTGTGGGGAATATGGTCAAAGCAGAAAGTGGCCATTTGTAGAAAAGTTTTAACTGGTCATTCCTCCTCCAAAATAAGCCTTCAACAAATTAATTCTTGGTTTTGTGTTTTTCAGATATTTTTTAACCTGCAGTAATACTTTGAAATATATTCACGTTTTGAGTTGGTTTTTGTAAAATTGTTTCTCATTTAATGTTTCTAAGATTGCATGTATCATTCCTAAATTAATAACCTTAAGGTCAGAGAGTGAGAGACTATTCTCACAGTGACTTGTTGAGCAATTTTTAGGGTTTTTCCAGTTTTGTAAGTAGGCGTTCATAGCTAGACATTTTAATGCTTAGAATGTTAATCAGAAATACCTGCTTTTAGTGGTGGAGCTTCCACTGCCACAAGGGCAATGTTGGTGTTGGGAACTGGAGAGAGATCCCCAGAGCAAGCAGGGATCTGCTGGCCTCGGCCACAGGGTTAGGTCTCCTGAAGGGTTCTGTGTTCCTCTGACATCTCCTAGAGCTTGCTTTACCTTTTTTTAAAAGTAGGAATCCTTTGGGAAAATTAGTGAAAACTGAGGGCAAGTTAAACATGTACATCTCCTGACATCTTTTATTTATGTTTAGGTGATGGACCATCTGGACTATGCAACGAACGAAGAAAGCCAAGTGGTTGCTGGTGAGCAGACAGTGCAACAGTGAAGTCGAAGGGACTTGCAATGATTGCCATTCATTTGCTACACAGAGTTTGACTTTTCAGACTGCTTTCTGAACTGACAATCTCTAAGAATCTTCAGTGATGTGTTTGCAGATAGATCCTTTTATGAACTGGTACTGGCAGATTACAGCATAAACAATTACAATGCATTTGCTTTTAACTACTTTATACTTGTGCCTTCACATTAAATAAAAGCATATGTTCTGAGTAATTTTCAACATATGAGCATATTATATGCAGTATATTTTTCTGAAAAAAAAATTGGGGAGCCTACCCTTGTACTTTTCTGATGAAATTTGTTGCATTTAGCTCTAACATTAGATGGAAGTATTTCTGTCAAAGTATTTTTTAAACACATTTAACTGTTAAAGAATTATGCCAATGTATCTGCTCTGTAAAAATAACTGTTAAGAACACCCGTGAGGGCAATTCAGCAGTGTTATGAACATTTGGACCTCTATATCACTGCAAAGATTAGAAGTAAATGATTTGAAACTATAACTATTTGTAGCTTAACTAAAAGCCCTGATTCTTTTTTAAATTGAGGGTCTAGATTACTTTGGATTGTGTATGTATTATATTAAAAATATTTTTTCAGGTATAGAGAAACATACTACATAGAATAATCATAAGAGGACAGAAAAATTTAGACCCCCCTTTTCCAATGGTGTGTCAATTCCCTAAAGATATATCCTAAATTTCTATATTCATGTTCAATTTTACTATGATTGTTCTTGCACTTTGAAATTTGACCCTGTTGTTGTCAAGGTTTGGTATTTTAAAATTACTTTTCTTATCAATTTAAGTATTAATAAATATGACTCATTGTTTGTGCCATAACTTTATCCCTCCACCCTCTCTTTTTTTTTTTTTTTTGTTCTCATTTTCACTCATCATCACTATTAACATTTTACTTTATCAGTGGCGGATGACTTACTTTTAAATATACCAAGGTGGTCAGAGTAAAAAATTTAGGAAAGATGTAATGAGACTAGGTATTATTCTCACTTTAATCATAATATGTGGTAGAGTTTGAGCAATTCGCAACATAGTTCAGTTTTCTCATCTGTAAAACAAGTAGGTTGGACAAGTCCCTTCCAGTATCTTCCAACTCAAAAATCTCATTGTTTGCTAAGTCTTACATGTGGTCCTTAACCTAACCTTGGTAGTTAAAGCCCTGATTATCGTTCCATTTTCTTTCCTTTTCCTTTAAAAATTCCCAAATGAATTTTACATTTCTCTAAATAATCTACAAAATGTGTTAAATAAATATGTGATCTTTCATTCTAAGGCCAGCTCAGCTTATTAGAAGTTAAAGTTAATGTCTTTTAAAATGGATCAGATCTCCAGTGTTGGAACTGAATTTGGCCTTTGAGAGAGTGACAGGCTGTGGTCTCATTGTTAGCGCTTGCCATGTCCATTGCAGATGGACATGCACCTTTAACTGTCAGGCCCTCTCTCTTTCTACCTATTTCCTAGTACGTTTAGGGCAAGTTTATTACTTCACTGACAAACAAGTTAATCTTGCCTTCGTATGCACACGTTTCAATTTTTTCCAAAGAATCTAATTTGTTTGGCAGACTCTGATAGAAGGAAGAAGAGATTAAATGCCACCCTAAAGCTTCAAGTATGTTTTCATTTATAGCATCTATAAAGTATTTGCCAAATTAAAGCTTGTTTGGTAAAATTATATACCTAGAAATCTGAAAATGTAAGTTCTCTGATAAAATTCTCTTATAGCCAACCATTAATTATCAAGGAGATAAAATCGTGTTCTACTTTGCCACTAAAATCATTGAGTAAATAGAAATAAAATGGAATTCCTAAATTTCTTTTTCTTCAATGTTAACTTGGACTTTATATGTCCTTAAAGAATTTCCAACCTAGCTGAAAATAATTCTGTACAGAAATTAGAACTAAATACAGAAATATTTCATTTGGGGAACAAAAGTGAAGAATGGGTAAGAAGATGAAAATATGTCTTCAGAATCTTCTCTTCTTCTCCATCCCCTACAATAATTTTAAGAGGAACATAAGTTTGTCCTTTTTTCCCTAAACATAGTGTAAAAAGAAGTAAGATATATGAAATTAATATAGCAAAAAATTTTTTTTCTTCTTAGTTAGAAATTGGCTATGAATATTTCTATAGTTTATCAAATGAAAGCCATTGATTATTTCAAATTTGTGCCCATTATCTTCACTTCTCCATAATTGAGCAAAGCTCAATAGTAAAGTTCTGAGAGGCAAAGACCTTGATATTTTCATATATTTTGTTTTTTAATATATATTTTCTTCTTAATAACTTTCAAGTCAGTTCTGACTCAAGTGACCTCTGTTTCAGAGTAGAATCACTGGGTTGTCCGTGATGATGGTCAGCAGGCCTTCTGAGGCATCACCAGGTAGACTAAAGCGTCCCACCTTCGGTTCTCAACCAAGCACACTACCATTTGCATATCCCTGAGACTCTATATTCTATTCCTTTTTAGTAAAATCTATCATTTATTTATCATTTCAAGGAAGAAACTTCTAATCCATCTGCTGCTGAAATAGAAAGATTTTGACTCTATATCCCTAGAAATGCTTATGAAACCATAGATTTATAGTAAATACAAATGAGCTTTCTGCATCAGATGTTTGCAAAAATTATTTTAATACTTGACTAAAAAATACTTGCACTAGCTTATTTAAACTTGGTCCCTCAGAATCCATCCTGATCTCAGCCATTGAGATTTCAAAAACATAGGAATTGCATCTAAGTCTAGTGGCATACACTGCTTTAAAGGCTTTCTGCATTCCCATTAACAAAGAAACAGCTTGGATTTATTCAAGATAATGCCAATTAAACAATTTTTTTTTAATGCCTTTTGATCTCAGAAAAGAGCTCTGATGGCATAATGGTTACGTGTCCTGCCACTAACTAGCATTCAGGGTTCAAACCCGCCAGCCGTTTGTCAGGGAGAACCATGTGGCAGCCTGCTTTTGCCCTGGAAACCCTGTGGGAGAGGACTACTCTGGCAACAAGTCTGGGAGGTTGTTTAGTGTTGGTTTGGGTTTTTGTTAACCTAAGAGAACCATTTTTAAAGAGGTCTCGGACAGGGTAATGAAAATAAAATGTACTGTATGCTTCCTCGAAAAAGATAGTCCACCTTTTAGAATTTGATCCTCTAGTTTTAGTACACCTATGTTCTCTATAGAGTCCTGACCTTACCAAGGAAAACACGGGGCTCATAGAGTGCATGCCGGCGCTGCTTTGCCATGAAGCCCATGAGGGGTGCGTTTCCTTAGGGTTCCATGCTGTTGTCGTCTTGGTGTGGGAAGCATGTACGTTGAGGGAAAGATGATTTTTTAAATGAAATGTTTAGTGCATTCCTCATTAGTGGCCGTGATGGGACCACTAATGGGGAAAAATGTTAAAAATTGTCATGTAGTTCTTTGATTAGATGAGAGAAAAACTGAGCAGCTTTTCTATTTCTTGGATGTAGGGGTTTTTTTGGTTTTTTTTTTTAATCTAAAGCTTTCGAGTTTTTGCATATTTTATACTTTCTGTTGATTTTTTGTTCAAATGAAAGGAATTTTTTAATGCATGAGTGAATTTTTACTTCTTAGGTGGTTGACTTGAGTGTGCAATTCTTTTCCTAACACTTTGATAAGTAAGTTAGTATAAATTAAATACTTTTATAACTGATAGGGTTTATTTTTTTATGGAGTATGGTTTTAAATTTTTACATTTTGAAGTGTTAATTTAGCAGTACTTTAAACTGTCTGTCCTGTGTGCCAATACTGACAAGAAAAATAATTTTTTAATGTATTGAGTTCATTTTGGTACTCAATAAATTCTATTTTAAAATAAAGTTGGAATTTGCTTTATTTTGAGTGTTGGGAAAAAATTGAAAATGAACAAAAAGTGTACTGGATTGTGTTCACATGAGGCAAAAACGGTAATGTAGGTAAATCTGACAAATGTAAACTTAGATTCTCTGTCAATGACTACAAATTCACACTGACATAATAACACTTAATATTTGTTTAATTAAGTACTAGACTCTTTATCTAAGCAAATATCCTTCCTTTTGTAATGAAAACCTTGGGCAGCTGCCATTTGCTGTTGTTCTTCCCACAGATGACGAACATCCCTGCGCCATTGTTCTCTTTGGAGCTCGGATGTGGTTGGCTTAGATATGGATCCCTAGATCGTCTTTCCTGCGCGCGTTGAGAGCGTCTTGCTCTTCCTTTCTTGCCTTGCTGCCGAGAAACCCTAGGTCGTCATCCCACAGAAGTGCTCTGAGAACGTGTGAAGGCAAGCTGACACAAGCATAACAGAGCCCTGTCTCCTGGCTGCCTCCCAGCCCTAGCTTTCTTGGGACTTACTGACTTACCCAAAAAGGGGCTCTGATACACATTAGGAAACCTGAAAGCCAGCGATTTTCCCCAAGCTGTCTCCTCTCTCCTGGAAGCCACTCTCACCGAGAGCAATATCTATCACCCCTTTTCTCCACAGCTAAGTGTGTGGTTGCTACTTCATTTTTCAAAACCTGTTTATATTGTAGGGATGTGTACCTTAATGGGAAACCTATACAGAAAAGTAAAGAAATTATTAACATAGAAATTAGTATAGTGGTTTCTTGGTAGGGGGTGGGGATACGATTAATGAAGGGCACCTGCCTTGTGTTTTCTATAACCCAGATAGGTTCTGATTCCTAAAATGGGAGGGGGCTTCATGTTCACCTTTTTATTCTTTAAACTACTTATGCTTCATAAAGCTTTCTGTGTAATTTTAGTAATTTTAAAATATTTTAGAACAGTAGTACTGATGCATAAATAGACATATCAGTAGACACAAAACAATGCAGATATCGACTCAGATGCATGTGGGAATTTCACACTTGATGAAATATGTGACATGTTAAATCAATGAGGAAAGAACGGATGATGAGTAGATGATATTAGGAAAATGTGTGACCTCTGGAGGACACAAGCATCCCTACCTCAGCTCTTGTACCAAATTAGTTTATGACGGACTTAAGTAAAACGTAAAGCAAGAAAATACAGAAGAAAAAATGGAAGACATTTTGAATACAATTTTTAACTGGGTAAAGCTTTTTACTAAGTATGAAATAAAACCTAGAAGTCATAAAAAGAAAGAATGAAAATTTCAAGTGTTAAAAACAAAGTCAAAAGATATCCATGTGGGGAAATACCTGACTAATAGATAAACTCAGATTTCTTTAACCTGACCAACCACTGAGAAATCAGTTCAAATCCCCCAACTACTCTGTGCGAGAAAGAGCAGACTATCTGCTTCAGTAAAGATTGGCAGCTACAGAAGCTCGATGCAGCAATCATATAGGGTCTTGGTGAGTTGAAATCGGTTCAGAAGTCATAGGTTTATAAATCAATAGCAAAATGGGCAAAGTCAATGAACTGTCAAATTGGTATTTCGGGTCCAGCCATATAAAGTCAATACTGTTAAAATATGGGGTGATATGGAAGCTATTTAAGGAATATAGTGCAGAGTTCAAATAAGCAAGATAAAGATCTGTGGTGTGCTGTCATTTATAATTTTTTTTAAAAGAATAAATATGTAAACCTGTAAAATACAAGTGTATAAAAATGATGGCTAAGGGATGCTTGACTCGCACCATGATATCTTCAGGCACTTCATCTGCATGCACAAGCCTGACAATAAACGCATGGGAGACCTGACACCACATATGTGAAACATGATAGCTGCCAAGAAAATTGTATGGGGAGGGAGGGGCAAAATGAGCAACTGATATTAAGGGCTAAAGTGGAAGGCAAATGTTTTGAGCATGATGAGCGCAACAAATGTACAAATGTGC